GTTTCAATCTCATGTCTTCAAATGCTTTTCCACAGGCAGAGCCTAGATTTCTTTGGAACAATTATATGATGGAAGGGATGATAGATAACAAGGTTGGGTCTTTGCTAACTTTTTAGTTTTATCTTTTCCATTTTCTGATGAACTTAATTCCCATTTACTAACTTCTGAGCATTTATATGGTCTTTGATTGCAGCTTGATCCATACCTACTTCCTATTGTTCAAGGGAATATCCTTAATTCGTTCTTCCTTTCAGTTTATTGCCGTTTCTCATGTGTGCTTGCGTGCCTGCACACATGCATACATTTCGTACTTGTGTATTGTTTAGTTTGTTTAGTTTCATTTGTGTGTGTTGGTGTTGGATTTATAAACTGTTTTGTCATTGAGAGGTTCTCCTTAATTGATCATCACGCTTTCATCACTTTCAAGCAGCCATTGGCAAAGATATTATTGATGTTACTCTGATTGCTAGGAGATGCACTAGGCGAAATGGTATTCAAATCTTTCTGCTTTTTCAGTCGTTTATTTATTGCCATGCTCTGTAATTTACAGTTAGCATACACTTGCAGATATATGAATAATAGATGGTGATGTTAGTACTGTACCACCTATGACGCGAACTAATGATTTAGCTATTTAAAAAAAAATTATGTTTGCTTGATCGTAAAAGTGTTTGAGCTGTGGACCAACTACCGTTCATTTCAATAGGTAACGCTGAAATAGGTAGGTTGAATGGATGTTGCATCTGTTCAGTGCAGTAGGAAGTAAAAGGTCCACTGATTTCTGGTGTGCATCTATGTGAATTTTATATGCATTTCCAGCAGAATTATATTCATGCTAAATTTGGGAATGTAGAGGTTATAATATCTTATGCAGTTAGGGGTGCTATATGCATCGGAAATAGGACTTATGTTTTTGTTACTTCAGCCAATAATAATTTTCTTTTCTTGGAAGGTACGCGGATGTGGAGAAGAGGAGCTGATTCTGATGGGTACGTAGCGAACTTTGTCGAAACTGAGCAGATTATGCACTTGAATGGGTTTACTTCATCATTTGTCCAGGTAAAATTGTATAGCTATGCATATGTAATTAAGATATGGACTTTTTGATCACATGGTTTTATTTCTATTTTCCCTGATTAATTGTCCTAAATGGTTTACAGCACCTTCAATGTTTCTTCTGCAGGTTAGGGGGTCAATTCCTTTGCTTTGGGACCAAATTGTTGACTTAACGTATAAGCCCAAGTTCGAAATTGTGCGACTTGAGGAATCTGTGAGTTGCTGGTTTGTTTTTAAATTCTAAGATTCTTTTGCAATCTATCTCCATCTGACTTCTTCTGTACTACATGTTATGCAGCCTCGAGTGGCAGAGCGGCATTTTCTGGATTTAAGAAAAAAGTATGGGGCTGTATTAGCTGTTGATCTTGTCAACACGGTGCGAACTCTATATCCCAATCTTTTTGGAATAATTTATCTGAAAATACACATCCAATAGGCATGCTTGTGTACTATCCACATGAATGCATATATGTATATGTATACAATTGTGTATTGTGCATGGGTCGGTGTATTTTTAGGTGTGCACACTTTTAAACTTTTCATTCTTTGACATTCGTATATATGGGCGTGCATACAATTTGGGTGTTACGTCTCATGAATCATGATACTTAATCTTGTCAGCATGGAGGTGAAGGACGCTTGAGTGAGAAATTTGCAAATGCAATGCAGCATATTGTTAGTGATGATCTGAGGTAGAATTTCCTTTCTCCTAATTCTTTTTACCCTTCTTTTCTTGTTCCTTGGTATGGATCTATTTTATGTTGAGACCTGCTGAATATTGTAGATATTGGCACTTTGATTTTCACCATATCTGTGGACACGTCCATTTTGAGCGCCTCTCTATCCTTTATGAGCAAATTGTAGATTTCCTCGACAGAAATGGGTATGTTTTCCATCACCCTGTCATAAATATTTAATTCCCTGACATGCACTTGAGTATGTGTTACTTCTTATTCATTTGTTCCTTTCAGACGTCTTTATTTACTTATTGAGTGTAAGTTCTGCAGAAATAGATTAATATAGATACTTGTTTTGCATCCCTACACAGAAATGTAATTTTTGCTTGCTCACCATGATTGAAATATAGGTATCTTCTATTGAATGAAAAGGGCGAGAAAATGAAGGAGCAGCTAGGAGTTGTAAGGACCAATTGCATTGATTGCCTAGATCGTACAAATGTTACCCAGGTACGTTAATAATTTGTATATTGTTTCAACATTTTAAGACAATAATAGTTATGCAGGCAAACCCAGACTAGTACTTTATTATCACTTTTTGGTTCTCGTTATAAACTTCTTTTTTTTCTGTTGTTTGTTCACTAATCGAGTATTATTTGCTGCAGAGCATGATAGCCCGAAATATGTTGGAATGCCAACTTAGAAGGCTTGGAATTTTTGCTGCTGAAGAAACTATTAGCTCACATCACAATTTAGATGAATGCTTTAGAGTCTGTGAGTACATCCTTTTTCTCTTTTCTTGTACCACCTCTCTCTCTAGCATATAGGGCTTACCATATCTGCGGGTGTTTGTTGCTTCTGATATTATTTCTTTCTTTTTTAACTTTTTTCCCAGTGTGGGCTAATCATGGGGATGATGTAAGCATTCAGTATTCTGGAACTCCTGCTTTGAAGGGGGATTTTGTAAGGTACTTATACATAGATCTGCTCATACATCTAATGCATTCTTACCCTAGAAAATGTGATTCTGACTTGGAAAGGCGGGGAAAAAGCTTTGAAGGTTTGGGATGTATATTTTGCATGCTACATCTATGATGGGACAGCAGTATACTACTGACTTAAGAATAAGATACTATGTTTTAGTTTTTAGCTGTGGTAATTTTTGTCTATTTGGCTGGATCTTAGATGTGGACAGCGGACAATGCCAGGGATCGCTAAGGATGGAGTCAGTGCCCTTCTACGATATTATTATAATAACTTTTGCGACGGAACAAAACAGGTTAGTGTGCTTCCTTTTATGTCATCTCTCCTTTTCTCTGTGCTTATGTGTTGGATCTCTTTGTATGAAGTCAATATCATCTCTTCTGCAACTACTTATGTATTGGGTACTTCTTTTTGTATTTTGGTGGAAATGCCTGAAGGATGCAATTGACCTCCTGCAAGGACATTACATTGTCTCGGTCAGCAGAGATATGACACCGTCGTCACAAAAAGGAGGACTTGAGGCTGTTGCCGTAAGTCGAAGCTAGATGTCTATTCAAGTTAGCTTGCTTTGTTTTTTTATTGCCCAACTCTGACCTTTATCAGTGTCTTAACTCACATTATTTTGTTCTGCAGTCATTCCCGCTGGCGTTGTTTTTCGTTTTGACGGGGTTCTTTTTTGCGACATTGTCATTGAGGCAAGGTAAATATAAACACGACATGTTGTGACTAAATAGAATTTGCAGAAATCATGGCTTAGATGGTGAAAGGGTGGGACGGGACTGGGATATTGTTGGTTCATTTTCTAGAGAGAAACAATATCGGATTGTCAACATCTTTGCAAATCTGCAATCAAGTGATGTTTTATTTCTTCAATTCTTTTGCAGTTAGGTACGATCTACGGCACTTGTTCTTCTCAAGTATATGGGCAGGTCTAAGTATTGCTTTAGCTGCATTCGTGAGGGCCAATGGGCGTATTTTCTGCAACAGACCTCGTCTACACAAGCCTCGGTCTTGATTCTGGATTGAGAATGTTGTGGCCGATTCAATTTCCTTTGAAGCTTTTACTGCTTGCTTCATGGTAATTTGATTCTTTGATTAGTAACCCAGTCTTTGAAATCTTGATCGGTTATACGCAAAAGTTAATACGACATGTAAACACCTGCTTCTTTTGGTAACGACTTATATTCTTATCATCAATCTTTTTTTTATTTTTATTCTGTAAATGCTTGCACCTTGTTCAAGCTTTTCATAGACATGGTTTAAAAGTTGTAACTTGAAATTTTTTGTATCTTGGCTACGACGATTACAGAGGATTGAAATTTTGATTTCTGTTTCGGTAAATCACATTTATTTTCTTACTTATGCAACATGAAATTACTAAGAAGCTTGAGTTGCATATGGAGGCCAGTAAAGGTGAAATGCAATCTTGTAGACAACGGTTAGGCCCTTGAGATCAACGGGGGACGATGTCACGTAGCCTTGAACAAACAGGAAATCGCCCGTGCCCCCCACAACAGGATGATTGGCGGGCTTCACGTTATGCGTGCCTCCGACTATGGAAACTGAACCAGAGTGGTTCTTCAAGCGCAAAGTGATCTTGGCTACTGAAATGCTCTGAAGCCCATCCAAGCTGGATGTGACTGAAGTTCCTTGAGCTATCCCAACTGCTTTTGAAGATCGGTTGGCTGTGAGAGTCATCGGATCCTGGAAAACAAACACGGTGCCAAAAGGCGTAGTGGTTTGACCGATGCCTGCTCCAGCCACACCATTCACTACAATATATCCGGTTCTGTTTATGGTTTCGTGTTGAAAGAGTGAGAAGTGGAGGGACTTAAGATGATGGTGGTGATGAGAGGTAGAGGCGGCTTTGGTTAGGAGGAGGGTGCAAAGTAGAACCGGAAGAACTGTATCGAATCTCAGAGCATGAGCCATGGCAGTTTTAGCATGAAGAACACTGAATTTACATGAAAGACTAGTTCTAGTGTGGAGTCTTATACAATGGGAGAGCTTAAAGTCGCATTTGGTTGATACTACAGATATCTGCCGTCTGATCCAGGGTTTTGATCAAGACCATCCAAAGGGGGATTAGGTTGATACCACAGATATGTGGCTTTTATCACTCCTGTGAATTTTCCAAAAGCAACCATGATTAAAAAGTTGATTTGGATGCTGCATCATTTTCAAAAGCTACAGCTGCCTTCAACTCTATATATAGTTGCATTGACTGAAAAAAAAATCACAATAATAAAATCGTCGTGGCCCAATCTCCTACTAAGTCCCGATTCTTCTGAACTGCACAGTAAAAGATTGTTACACACATAACACGAATTGTTTGGGAACAGCACCCACTCGCCAAATATGACTACACTGTTATACATAATACAATTACCATATATAGTAAATAGGTCACAAACATTTCTGCTACCGAATTTCAAGTTAAGAATCCAAGCTTCCAGGGGATTTGTAAGCAATGATCACATGATTTATAAAATCTCTGTGGATTTATAATCGTTACATCTGCTTCCTTTTCTTCTCCAAATAGTAGTGGTTTCTCTGGAAGTTCAAAATTGCCCAAACCAAGTGCCACAAACCCAAATCCGGCCATAGCGCAGCAGGAAAGTACAACAGGCAGTTAGAAGTTTGCCAGAGCAGAAAGTTGCTTAGGCGTGTCTCACCCGAAGTTCGAATCACAATGTTTGGATCAGGTGCCACTGCCATGTACATGTGCCTCTCAACGTCCACTACCTTTACAACAGGAACATTTTGCAACTGCTTCTCACTCTCTTGAACTTCCCCTTCAACATTTTCGACATGATTAACCATTGTATTTTCCTTCTCCCCCTCAACTCTCTCATTGCAAGCCTCACTGGTGTCTAGTCCTGCTTCTCCATCCAAACCGCCATTGCCACCCCTCGTTCTTTTAATCTGTGCTTGAATTTCGTTCCTTTTCTCGTAGCAGGATTCTTGAACAGCATGCACAATCTCATCACGAGAAGAATAAGCCACACAGATTAAAAGCACGGCCTTGGAATTATTGGCAGTGGCCTTCATTGCCCTTTCAGCAGCATCCCTCACAGACTCATTCAAAAGCTTCAAGTTACCGATAAAGCATACTCGAATGCCATACTGGTTTACAATGCTTTCTCTCTCAAGCAACCCCTCAATCTTCTCCTGCAACAAATCCATCAGAATTTGCACCTCGTCGGATGGCCGCTTGAAATTATCAATGCCGAAGGCATAGACCGTCATAAACTTCACTAACAACTCGTAGCAGTACTGGAGAACCGACATGAAAGATAGAAATCCGGCTCTGTGGCCTTCCCCAGCAGGCAGGTTCCTCCTCTTTGCATACCTTCTGTTCCCATCCATGATGAAGGCTATGTGTTCAGGAATGGGGCCCACAGATACCACACTGAACAAGCATTTCCTCAGAAAAGATCCTAAAGCCCCCAACGATTGGCTTGCACCAATAGCACTGCTTTGGCTTGCAACAATGGCACTGTTTTCCTCCATCATATGATCCTGCTGAAGAAAAATGAAACATCAGTGAACATGAAACCTTAAACACTCTCCATATATGGAAATAAAGAAAAGAACCCATCATTTACAAATCACTGTTTGACGTGTACGCTTTTAATAACTTTTTTGTGTGTATAAGCACTGAACTTTAGTTCAGCAGTCAAAAGTAATATTGGGTTCCAAGAATGATCACAAAAAAGCCAAAAAGAAATTCAAAGTTTGGACTTCCTTCTCCTTTGCTCAGTTTTTCTCTGAGCAGCCAAACGCAGAACAAAAAAAAAGGGTGTAATATCCACACACCTCATTTTACTTCTCACACACATTTTTAATTTTCGGCATTCAGATCGGATGAATTGAAGAAGATCAACAAATATAAATTATCAAGGGGTGTGTGGGAAGTAAAATGGGGGGTGTGTGGATAATACATCCTAAAAAAAGTTCATGTAGACAAATCACAATCACACAACACAAGCAAATTGTTGATGAAGACATGTCACAATAAAAAAGAAAAAGTTGTTCTTATGAAAATTATATATATTCACACATATGATATAATTATACACGAAAATTATTTTTACACACCATTTTTTTCCTTCTACAGACCCTCCTTTAAAACCGTGTAACGATTTTCCTTTGCTTATTCAATCCAAAAGCAAAAAGTAAACAGGGTATACACGAGAAGAAAAAATGTGTAGAAATCCCTTTCTGTCGTATAAAGTGCGAAGGACTTGAATATATTGATGAATGTGTCGATCAAAGTTGAAGCATTGGCGACCCAATCAAGTTTGAAGAAGCAAGAGAGTTAATTAAGACCTATATATATAAGAGTGGTTAGTGAGAAATCAAACGAAGGTAGATCAGTGATATAAAAGAACGTTGTGCATCTTCTTTACACATGCGTGAAATCCTCTCATTGTGCATCTGATCAGTTGGTAAGGTTCATCAACTTCGTTCAATAAACACTCCCTTTTCAGTTATCAAAGTCACAATATCTGCAATTAACATGAGCTGCCTCTCCCCCCATTTTTCGGTACCATCTAATCTGGTAGCTGACTGTATAGGACAACAAACAAACCCTTGAACTGAACGTGACTATTTTCACAATCTACTTAATATTTCTTTATATATGTAGCAATGGTCCCTCAATTTTAATCTAATTGGAGCAAGATTCCTCAACGAAAAATCCATTATCATTGTCCTCCCTTAACTCATCAAAATATGTAGCTATGGTCATTTTCGTTAACTCCGTCAAAATGACTCATGTTAGATGAATCATTGCTACAATTTGGTTAAAGTTGAGGGATCATTGCCCCAATTGGGTTAAGTTGAGGGACCATTTCTCCAATTGGATTAAAGTTGAGGGACCATTGCTACAATTTTTTTCATTTGGTTTTTCATATTTGCCCCTTAATTCAGCTTCATGTGCATGACACATGACTTATTTTGATGGAAGTTCTAATGGAGTTTACGAAAAGGACTATAATTGCACGTTTTGGTGAGTTAAGGGACCAATGGCATAGATTTTTAATTGTGAGATCATTGCTACAATTTCCTTTATATTATGCAGTTGTTAATTATGATTAGTGTTATGTGTAACGAGTAATTGATCGACGCATGGAGCTTGGCAGATTACTGATGTGCTTAAGAGTCAAGATCATTGTAATGGAGCTCTGGAAAAAACCATCTAAGCCCACATTATAAATTGCTTTGATGATAGTATGGCTTAACAAGCAATCCTTTAATCCAGCACAAATGGTGATTAATTACAAGAACCAAATTTTTAGGAATTTCAATATATAATTGCTACAATTAAATAAAAATAAATATGAAAATTGACAAAATTAAAGAATGAGATTGTTCAAACATTTTCAATTTGATGTTTGAACATCAACATAAACCTTGTAGTATCGCTATCACATTTTATCTCATTGAGAGCTATGAAACCTAGAGTGATATGATCAATGAGGAAGCGACTGTTTATTGGCTCCAAAATTAAAAGTGGCTTGCACAGATGTAAGTTTGGATTGCTTTGGTTGTTCCTTGATTGCTTGAATCTGTTCCAATTGCTCCACAACTTCTTTCATGGAGGGCCGGCTTTTAGGGTCCGGCTCTAGGCACTTGTGAGCTATAAGTGCTACCTGCATTGCTGCCTTGAAGGCATATTGGCCTTCCATCCGCACATCCAATATGTTTTTAAGCTTTCTTTTGTGTAAGAGAAGTGGTTTAGCCCATTCTGCAAGTTGTTGTTGTTCTCTGGGACGTTGCATATCAAGTGCTCGTAGCCCTGTCAGAATTTCAAGCAACACCACGCCGAATCCATACACATCGCTCTTCACGTACAAATGACCTGTTGGTTTAGGGTATACATATATCAGGAATATGTATCAGCTGATTTGTGAAAATCAACGAAGGGAATTTCATATCTAAACTCCATAAAATCTTCCATTTTTGTTCGAGATTGATTACCTGTTGCAATGTATTCTGGAGCAGCATAACCATATGTTCCCATGATCCTAGTCGTAACATGTGATTCTGCACCTGCTGGCCCCAATTTCGCCAAGCCAAAATCCGAGATTTTTGAATTGAAACTCTGCAGAAATAAAATAGGTGATTAACAAAAAAAAAAGATGGTTTAATTATATCATGTACATGCAGATGCAGCTGTAGCCACATTAACAAGAGTGGATAGTGGATGTGCTCCTCCCTATGCACCCAATTTCGAATTCCTCTCTCGCAGCCATTTGGATTAGTATAGAGTATATATTACATCACGTACAAGCAACAAGGTCCAAATTGGAAGCTAGGTTCCTATATGGTTACAATTGTAGGTTCTTAGAAAGATAATGGAGCATACATAATATAACTAATATGAGAGAGAAAAGGCTAAAAGAGAAGTACAAACCCAATCAAGCAATATATTTGAGGCCTTAAAATCTCTGTAGATGATTTGTTTTTCTGAACTGTGTAAGAAGGCCAGGCCCCGAGCTGCTCCAATAGCTATTTTTAGTCGTGTGTCCCAAGAAAGAAGTTCGCTGCCCGCGCTCCCTACTCGAAGCAAAAGTTGTAGGGTTTACAATTCAAGCAAAAAAATTTAAGTTTTAAGCTCTATGTTTTCACATTGGCTTCTTACTTCTGAAAAGATGATTCTCCAAACTTCCTTTCTTCATAAACTCATAAACAAGGAGTAGTTCTTCGTCTTCCAAACAGTAACCTAATAGCTTCACGAGGTTCGGATGAGAAAGCCGTCCCAAAAAATTCACTTCTGACTGCATTGTCAAATATGATCAAGGAAAAAGAAACATAATTATTTTAAAAAAAGAAGGATTTATGCTGAAAAGTTATGTAAGAAGAAGAAGTAGGGCTGTGAGTTACGTATGGGAGACTATGAATCAAATTAATAATCAGGATAACAATCACAACGTGGCATTAAAACCACACATTATGTAGCGGTGACAAAAGTGGTGCTCCCCAAACTAATGAAGTGTTGAACTAAAACATACAAGTTCGAATTTCTCAACTTTCAATACCTAAATTTGAATATATTTTATCATAGTTTTTAATTAGAATGCCGCTCATCTAAAAAATATATATATAATAATCAATGCATAGTAAGAAAGTTAATATAATAAATGGTTTTATTATTCTTCAATGCATCGAAACATTTTTATGATAAAACTCTAATCCAGTAAACCAGTGCAGATGATGAATGCAACTTAGGGGCATTTTGACAAAGTTTTCAATCAAATTTTGTTAACAAGGGTAGTAAATATCCTTAATTCGGTTCTGATTCATTGCATGACATTATCTTGGCACGATAAAATTATTTATTTCCCTCGTGACTTTCCCACTATATATCTATGCAATTTCTACACAGATATTCTTCTAAAGTGGGACCGCATCTACTCCTACTGAAGTCCAATGGAATTGAAAAATTAATAAAATGTGAGGCAGCAGGTTTGGCAAATCATGACATGTTATGATTAAAATTTAAAAAAGATGCCATCTTTATAAGAAATGGGGGATAAAAAACAAATGGTCCTAATTAATTAAAAATTCCCAATAATGCAATCAAAGTTGAAAAATCTTAATAAAAATAAATAAAATACCTGCCACTCTTGATACCCTTGGACACTTTCTGAGTTCAATTTCTTGATAGCAACCAGCATTCCAGTACCAGATTTTGAAGGCTGAAGGGTTTTCTCATCCACCCAACCTTTGAAAACCCTCCCAAATCCTCCCTCACCAAGCACTTGATCTGACTTGAAATTTCTGGTGGCTGCCTTCAACTCTGTAAAAGTGAAGACTCTCAAGTTTGGTGACTCCAAAATCTGCCCATTGGGTTGTTGTGAATGTAACTCTTTAATTCTGGGGCTCGATGATGCTTCTGAAAATTGACTTCTTCCTCCACTGCTGCTTGTGTTTGAGGATATGTTATTGCTGTGATTTCCAGATGTCCCTAGAAAAACATAACATATGATTAATATGCATGAATCATGTATGAAATTCAATGGCTGTTTTTCCTTTTGACAATACGATATTCTAGATATTCGAGAGGGTGATTTGAACTTGGTGTACCAGGGTGACTGCCTTGACTAACTGACCTAACATGCATCTGAATAAGAACTTCGATGATCGAATTAATGAAAAAGAAGCAACCCATGTAAGAGCATGCTAAAAGATTATGATCCAAGCATTTCTACTTGAAGAATTGAGATAATTTGTGAAATTTTTAATGACCTTTTTTTTGTTATATATGGTCTAATGTTGGAGCAAACTGTACCTGGAGTTGAAGGTATGTATTTGTTGCGATGAGGATCATCAGGAGATGTCCAGCAATTCCCCATAATTCAATTTTGTCAACTAGAAAAAGATTGGTGTAACTCTGCAAAGGTGGAAAGACAAAAGGAGAAAACTTGAAGGAGGAGAATGGAAGTGGATCGAATTTATGTGGTTGGTTGGCATTTTATTTAGTTGGAATGTTGGACTTTCTGCTCAATTGGGGACTTGCCATGAAACCAACTTGGTTGCTTTTTAATTTTCTATACTCAACTTATTTTGGATTATTCTGGCCATAAAAAAAGGATTAAAACCTTAATCTACATATTTAACTCCAAACCATATGGATTAATTCATTTCATTTTATACTGCATGTAAATCCTTAATTCCATTTAGTCAACTGTTTCTTTTATCCAAAGTTTCAAACCTTTTTTCTTTACTTGTTTGGCATCAATTGTAGCAATAAATATTTAACCAATCATAAAGCGCCATGATATTATCGACGTTCTGTGATAGCAAAATTTTATATATGCATGCAACAACATAGGCATTTTGATCATCGGATTTTTATATATTTACATTGTTACATTCGACCAAAAAATAAAATATCTACAACCATGTCCTAAGCCTTTTTTTTTTTAATTTTTTAGAATAAATTAAAAGCTAAGCATTATTAAAACAAGAAATTGGCAACAAGGGTGGTTTTCAAATATATTTTTAATTGATTAATAATTTTTTGTTTTTATGTTTTTTGTTCTAAAGTTATTTATTACAATTATAAAAAAAATAGTTTAATTGTTGTAAAATCGACGGTGTGTGTAGTGGAATAAATGAAACAAGACACAAAATTTACGAGATTCCTCTACAGTCAATGTGACTGAAGTATGTCCTCGGGGTAGCAGTAGTACTTTCATTATAATTTAGAATAATAGAAGTACAAAAATAACTCTCTCTATTATCTCATCTCCTCTTCCTCTCTTTTCTCTTTTCCTCTTCTGTATCTTCTTACTTTCATCCTTAGGTGTGTTGTGTTTCATAAGACTTTCTTTTATTGAAGCAAATCACGAGCAACATAGTGAAAAGCATATTAGTGGAGTCACCTAACATTTCATCCAATAAAGACAGATTGAAGTGGATTAGTGGCCAGCCATCTAGTCACCTTTACAATATTAATGATATATTTAGTGGTGAACAAAACTTAAAAAAAGATCAAAGTAGGACATGAGCTTTCAATTTAAAATTTAAAATTTGTCTTCTTCTTTAAGATGATCTAAGCTTCTACCCTGATACGGCTCGTTTATGCTAAAATTTAGAGAGAACCACTGGATTATTATTCTTGTTGACATCGACTCCACTAAATATTCATGTACCATCCCATGGGACATGGCTGCTCAAAATATTGTTTCATGAATATTTTTTTTTTTTTTTGTTTATAGAGAAGCTAATTCTGATGCCCATGCGATGTCCTTGCTAATTTAGGCAGTAGGAGAGCGTTGAATTATATTTGGATATATTCATTTTGTTCTCCTTGGCATAAGAAATGGCTTACAATTAGACTCCTTTTCTATTGGTTGATTCAAGTTTTTTTCTCTTCAAAAAAACATAACTTCGAAACTACAAGGGGTTTGTAACTCAAACAATTAAGAACACGTTCATGCATCAATGATTATGTGTGCTTACCATAGACCTATGGTTAAATTAGTGAGAAAAATGCTAAAAAGCAACCTCAGGTCAACAAGACTTCTCACTTTGTAAGAATCAGACTGAGTACATTAAAATCTGAATCTTTGACTGCTATAATCTACAAATACATCATAAGTCCATAACAACCTATAGTATTTAGTATTATCTCCGTGATTAGAGAAATGTCAATGGCCCCCTACTGCGTAATTGTGCGTCTCTCGTCATGGGAGTCAAAATGAAAATAAGAAATTAAAGAAGAAAAATAAGACTTTGCATTGCGTATTCTACCCAAAAGTGGAAAGTGACTTTGCATACACGGCCACTCGACTTGCAAAGTGGCTCATGTCACAACACAATAATCTTTAGATCTTACTCCGCGGAGGACACGCGGACCTCACTGTATACAATCTAATCATGGCTTTAGTGCTGATTTGGAACTCGACAGCATTTGTGCTCGTAAGCCTTGTGAATGCAAATTACGTAAAAGCAGTTTATCAGTGTCCTTTCGAGTTTACCGAGTGAGTGAAACCGAGTCACCATTAAAGCCAAAGCAAAGCTAGAATTAACCTAGACAATTGCAATTGTCAAGTTTTACACACCTTAAGGTAACAGGGGCATGACACGTGGAAAAACCACAAGCTAGCACACGAATCCGGATCCTCGCCGTGAGGATTCATGGGATCCGTGAATCATATCCATTTATCGTATATCGTGCAATTAGAAATCATTTTAATATTTTTATTTAAAATTAAATACAAACAGTATCTAACAAAAACTGACCATAAGATGTACGATGAACAGACGTAATTTATAGATCCCTAAGATCCTCACCAAAATGATCCGGAGAGAATCCTCTTGGCTAGCACACTCCCTGCCATAACCCTATATGCCAAAAGGGTAATGCTAGGTAGATTAAAATTCAAAATCAAATTTGCAAATCAAATTATATGTCACAAATAGAAAATAAGTACGTTAATCAATACAGTAATAATTCAATCATCATCAATCACATCATTTAATTTACAAAATCTGAGTCTTTAAGCAGAAGTTGACCTAGTCATGGCCTGTGACAACAACGTATGGTTTCAGGTATGAATTCGTGTAAGCCGCATTTTCTGTTTTGATATTTTTTTTTGTTTTGACTTTTTCTGTTTTGACATTTAGGGCAAAGCAAGAAAGTGCAGATGAGTTTAAAATCGTCAAGGGGGGATGAAGGAATGTGTTGAACACTGAAAATAGAAAGGAACGAAGTTACCTGAAAAAATGTAAAAGCCTTGAGTGGTGAATGATTCTTGGGATGAGTTGCGGACTAAGTCGCTCTCTTTAAGACGTTTCGGGGCTCTGCCCAAAGTGTGCAAGCAGTTCACAAACACCACGTCGTCCCCAAGATAAAACAGCCCAGAACCTTCTTCTGATAAGATTCTTCCTTGCACATCGGAAGAACCTTCGAACTTACACCTTACCAATATGTTGCTTTTTATAAATCAATATATATAAAACTTTTCTTACTTCATCTTTGTTATGCACGTTTTCTAACCTATATATAATCTATATATATATATAAAGAAATAGACATTGGAGGGTTTGAAACGTAAGAAATCATGGATGTTTATGGGATGCACGTTGGAGGGTGTGAAACCGTACAAAATCAAGGATATTTATGGGGATTTATGGGATGCAAAACTGTCTACAATCAAAGGATGATAACAAATTATGTTTTAAATTTAATGTTTGTAATAAACTAAAATATAAATATTTAAAATATTTAAATAAAAACATAATTGCTCCAACAATCCCCCACTTGTTTTTATTTAAAAAATATATATCAAGCAACATATCATAAAGCTATGCATAAGTAAAGGTGTTTCTCAACTTGAACCTGTACATAGTGTTAGTGATCCAGATTATACTAGAGTAACTTATAGTTTTGAACTCTATCTCTGACAACACCACACACATAACTTTATTAAGGTGAAGTTCAAAAAGCCAGCACATTACGGCCATGTGCTTGTATCCCAGTATAGTAAACGCTCTAGAAACTTGCCCAAGATTTCATAGGAAGCGGCCTCACTTCCACATTCACATAGGTAAGACTATCAAGGATATTCCTGTAGCTCGATATCCCACTCAACATAGAGTATAGACCTTATTAAGAGAAAAAATCTCAACCTAAAAACGCTTCAGGATGTCATGCTTCTTAGGGATGGACATGGAATAATCTTCCAATTAAACTTAGCAAGACTTCACTCATATCACTTGTGACTTGTTATTACCCTTTGAACCTATTTCTTGGGATCTCCAGTCTATAGGTTGGGTTGCTATCACAAATGACTCAATTTTCTATGGGCTTTAGTCCCATCCCTTTTGAGGTTTTTCAAACCTTTTCTCGTGTTAGTCCTTTCGTCAAAGGATCAACCAAATTTTCTTCAGACCGTATAGGACTGGAATCGGTTTCTCCCATAAAGGGGTATCTGACAGTAGGTTTTTCAACCATCTTGCTTCTTCTCCCATAAAGGGGTACGTATCTAACAGTAGGTTTCTCAACCATCCTGCTTCTTCTCCCATAAAGAGGTATCTGACAGTAGGTTCATAATTTTTCGAAGAATTAGAACCCCCACTATTTCGAAGATTAAAAGAATCAACTGATTACAAAAATCACAAAGCACATTTTCATAATTGATATTAAATATAAAACATAAATTGTTATCAAATTAAAGAACATGAAAAATCAGTGATTAAAAATTAAATAAACTCTCTCTTTAAAAACACTAAGCAATAAAACTACTGATTTTTCTGAAATGAAAGTAGCTCTTTGTGCACTTGGAGATGCTAACATACTTTTGAGCTCCAATGATATTTCATGCAGCGATAGAAAGTATAATACAAATATCAATGCATACGGCAGCAAAAACCAAAACCCAAAAGCATGTTAATTCGAATATATGCAGCAGCAGCCAAAACCAAAGCCTATTCTAATGCATGCAGCGCATGAGAGAAACATATGACTTGTAAAAAAAAAAACTAACACATGCAGCACCACTCTTAAACAAACAATGAAGAAAATATGATTTTCTTTTCTTTCTAATGCATGGCAGATTGAATAGACGTCTTAAAATTGTTGAACACTGAAAATAGAAAGGAACGAAGTTACCCGAAAAAATGTAAAAGCCTTGAGTGGTGAATGATTCTTGGGATGAGTCGCGGACTAAGTCGCTCTCTTTAAGACGTTTCGCGGCTCTGCCCAAAATGTGCAAGCAGTTCACAAACACCACGTCGTCCCCAGGATAAAACAGCCCAGAACCTTCTTCTGATAAGATTCTTCCTTGCACATCGGAAGAACCTTCGAACTTACACCTTACCAATATGTTGCTTTTTATAAATCAATATATATAAAACTTTTCTTACTTCATCTTTGTTATACACTTTTTCTAACCTATATATATAATCTATATATATATAAAGAAATAGACATTGGAGGGTTTGAAACGTAAGAAATCATGGATGTTTATGGGATGCACGTTGGAGGGTGTGAAACCGTACAAAATCAAGGATATTTATGGGGATTTATGGGATGCAAAACTGTCTACAATCAAAGGATGATAACAAATTATGTTTTAAATTTAATGTTTGTAATAAACTAAAATATAAATATTTAAAATATTTAAATAAAAACATAATTGCTCCAACAGAATGTTTCATGCTTGGAGGACGGAAAGCTAAGATTTTAGAGAGTTTACATGGAAGCATATATACATGAATCCGTGTCACTGGAAGATGAAAGGAAATTCATAACTAGCATGTTTATTTACTCAAAATGAAAAGTCGGGAATCCGGAAATGAGCTCCAAAACCTGAAATGGAAATCGTGGAAATCGGTTAACTAAAGTGTGTTCGCTCACCTAGAAGAGTGTCATCAATTGAGGAAGCCAAAAGTAGGTGAGAATTAATGAGAATGAAATCAAGTTCAACTACCGCCTCCGAATCAAAATCTAATTCACAATGTTTCAAGTATTGGATTACGGTTTGTAATTTATGAGTCACATAAGAAGTCGTGAATCAGAATAATTCCAATACCCGTGTGCGATGAGAAGTTAAAAATCAGAATAATTCTAATATTCAATCTCATAAACTGTAATCGAACCCAATAGCAATACCGGAAACTACAGATAAAATTCATTGGTCTACCAAAAGTAATATCCCAAACTAAAGGGGAGAACTTTAAGCCTTGAACCCCAATGCAAGAAATTCAGAAGTTGAAAGTTATTATTTTGAAATGAGCTCAAAAGCTCTCCTAATATTTTGTACAGATGCTTTAATTGGCAGAGGTAGACAGGCCCTGGCTTCTAAGAGCTCTAGCTCTGTGCCGTCTCTTGAAAACATCTTGCCGGAATCTTTTGGTCTCGGTCTTCATCTCCAAGAAGGGTCTCCTCTCTATACTTTCTCTTTCCCTCTCCAGCATTCTTTGCCTCTTTAGAACTGCCAAGGCTGCGGCCTTGTTCTCCTTCTGTTGGACCTCCGTCTCTTCCTGCCCAATCACATGTATATATATTTAAACAACTGCACATAATATAATAGGTGCCAATATATGTGACTGTCTGTGCAAGTACTTCGATACAGCCTACTGCATATTCAGGTCGTCATTCATCTGTTTTACGTGAACTTATTGGCGCTAATTTTCTAGCCATTACAAAGTTATTAAAGTAACAATATCTTTGAGCTTGGGAGATATTCCAATTAGTACAATCATGTCAATGTTCACTAAAATGGAAAGTGAGTGAACATATCAGCAAGGGGAAATAAGACAGACCTGAAGATCACGAATGAGACTGTCAAGCGATTTAATCTTCCTATGTGGCCACCGAGGAATACCAAATTCTCTGCATTTCTTCTTAAGTACTGTGAGTCCAACATTCAGATTTCTCGAAGCTTCCACAATTGGTAGATCAAAATACTTTGCCAGATCTGACAAGGCGATACTTGCTATGCGTCCACTTGGTGCCCTTCTTTTCTTCTCTGCAATACCTGCAGCCTTGCACCTAACCTATGAGATATCAAATTCAAATAATGCAGTGGTATAATACTATAATGGGGAAAACATTGAAGAAAAAAGATTTTTTCAAAAGGAAAGTATTGAATATCGATTTCTATGAAAAGTCCGGTATTTTACTTTCGCATATATTTACAAATGGTAGTCAGAATTACAAGATACACATCACTTGATAGTTGTCTTAGGTTATGGTAATAAATGAAACTTTTACGTAGTAGCATTCTTAAGTAAGCTGCTGTGAAGAGAAACTCTAGCTTCAGTTCCATACACTCCAAAGCCAAAGAAGAAAACACCAAAGGATGCGTACTGCATAGAAAGTTGAATTTTTTTACCCTGGCAACAACTGATTCTAAGACTTGTAACCCCGTCACACTTGATTGTGACAAAAATGAATTGAAGAACAGAAAGCAATGTGTGGCAACAATAATAGAAAGCAATGCATCTAACCTGGTGAACTTCTTCCACTTTCTTGATCCTCAGATGATTCAGACATTGTGACGGGGCTAGGAAGAGAGTTCAGATCCAGATCAAGTATCGGCCACCTCCTTGATTTGTGGTGACTATGATTACTCCCTTGGCTTGTTTCCTCCCGTGACCTTTGCAATGATTTTTTGTCATCTGTTTTGCAACTCAACTTGAAAATCATCTGAAGATCATTAGACAACCTTGGAATTGTCTTCAACTTTGGATTTCTGAACGATTAGGATAAAATATTGTTAGAGTTATGAATAAGATTGGAGATACCAAGGAGATTTGAAACGAACAAAACTTTAGAAAAGGTAGGTATCTGGAGCTGAGTTTGGGATTTGGTTCAGAGCAATTCAGGTTATATCTTCAGCAAAGATCAAATGTTCTACAGGGAAACGTAAAAAAATGGAAAACCGAGGTTTTTCCATAAATGTTTTCATATCCTACGATAATGGATAAGTTATTCTGTTAGAATCAGTTTCGTCACACAAAATCACTAGAGAAAAGGAGGATGATCGTCACTTGATGAAATCCAAAACTCTTTTTGGTAAATTTTAAATAGATGATTCCATATTGAACTGCTAATACTTCAGAGGATGCACATCAAATTCTACAGTAAACCCTCCTGATTAAGTTTGAAAAAGCATAGACGTTACGAGCATATTTCAACAAAAATGAAGTAGCCCACTTAACTATCACTCAGTCTCTTCAAGCCAAGCTGGACAAATTCTAACATAAATCAGGTAAACATGACAGCGCGTGATGCTACTCATAATAACTGATTAGTGACCGAGACGCGCAATCTGAAAGGGGCGTTCTAAGCACCCCTTGTAAAGCATGAAAGTGGCAAGGGGCAAATGCAACAGGGGCGTTTCACACACCCCCTCCTGTAAGTATTTCTCGGGCACTGAAACCCGATAAACTCGGCATCTTTACTCATTTGTCAGTACCTAGTTAACTAGGATTGGCCATGCCTGAAAACGGAAGATAATGCTGCACAAAACCAAAGAGATTCCACCAAATCACCAACTCTTCCAACGGCAAAATGAGGAGACTAGCACCATGAATTTCTTATCCAACCAATATCCTCTACATTTATAGGCCTAAACATCAAGCTAATCATTCTAACGACATGTTACAAATCCGTAATCGGGTAATACTGCAATTAGTACATCTAAAACACAAACACAAACACAAACAACTCCAACTCCAACCAAAAGAACAATTGAACAACACCATGAAAAACATCAAAAACAGAGAGACAACATAAGACTAAATTCATTAGACTGAAAAGGGTACCTGGAGACTGAAAGAACAGAGGGAATGCATGTAAAATCAGGAGGTGAATTTTCATGAAATGCTAAAATGCAGACCCAGCAGCCATTGACATGCCCTTGGAGCACTTGGGAAGCTGGAAATTTCATCAGTCTCAGAACCGGCTCAGCTGACAGCTCCACATACAACCCATTTTCTCTGAACACAAACTCCCTCTCCACCTCATTTCTCTTCCCCTCATCCAATCCGTACACATGCAAGCTCCTGATCAACTCTGCCAAACACAAAAAAAAACCATTTTGTTCTTCATAAAAATGAAAAACAAACAAAACCCAACAAGCAAAAGAGCAGAAAGATTCAATATCTGGAGAGAAAAGGAAAAAAAATTGGAAAATGGGGATGGTGGGTTTTGATAAACTCACCCTGGTTGATGGTGTTCTTGAAGACCAGAAGAGATCTCAGCAAATGGGGGTCACAGTCAGAGGAATCCATGAAAAGTGAGAGAAGAAGATCATGGTGTTGTGGGGGTGGAAAATATAGGGGAAGGAGTACTAGTGCATTGCTGCTGGTAGTGACAGCTAAAAACGGTGTGAAGAGAGAGAGGGAATGGAGTGAAATGAATGCAAAAACCCAGGCTCTGAATTTGGAACAAGTTTTTAATTTTTATATTTGTAATTTTTTTCAGAGAGTCCTGCCAAGCCAATGTATTTTTCCTTTTTCTCCTGCTTTCTTTCTTGTTGGCTTTTTTTCTATATCTAGCCACACACACTACATTACCAAAAAAGGTTTTCCTTTTTTCGTTTTAGATATAGATTACCAATTTAATTTTAGGAAAACTAATGAAGAGATTTTGAAAATTTTAAATTTTAATTATAAAGACAAAATAAGGGGTAAACTGAATAGTACCAACATTGATTTTTTAGTATAAAAATATGATTTTTCATTAAAATAAACAATACTGAGAACTTTTCGTTAAAGTTCCCTTTAATTTTTTTCTTTCTATTTCATAATTTCAAGTTTTTTTCCATCTTTCTTTTCCGAGATTTATGTTTATTAATTACATAATTTCGAAATTAAACCTATTTAACGATAATAAATAGCTTGATGAGTATTACCATCATTTCAGATTAGACCTAACATTTGTATCGTGTTTCTATTGTTCGTGTCGTAGCCGATAGCTTAACGAGTCGTGTCGTGTAATACCCGTTAAAGTAAATGGGTAATATGACCCGACCCGAAATCAACCTGTTAATATTATCAGGTAATATGACCCTACCCGTTACCCGTTAAGAAAAATATATTTTAAATCAATAAAATGAAAATGAAAAACATAATTTGACCCCAAAAATGTAAAACATAATACTAAATTAGTATATACATACTAAATTTCAGAATTGACCTCTTCATGAAAGCTATAAAGTTTTTCATTACAAGTGATTACATTTTTCACACTTCCATAATAATTATTATTAATTTTGCACTCAAATAAAAAACATTATTCATGAGATTTGGAGGATTTTAAAAATCTAAACGATCATGTAACCATCGTCTAAGCGTTGAGAATACAATTATGAACGTTTATTATGCTTTCACATCTTTTAGACTTATACATTAATGATTATGAATTTTGTTTATTTTGAAGTCCCTTAAAAACACTATTCATGAGAGTTTGTATGGTTTTAAAAATTCACACAATCATATACCCATCCTCGAAGCGTAGAGGATGCGACTACGAGCGTTTGCATATTTTTTCATATTTTTCGCACATGTAAATTAATTATTATGATTTTTTAATATGTTTGGTATTTTTAAATTACTTGATATTTTTTATTTTTAATGTGTTTTATGATTTTTAATCTTAATCTTTGCCTATATATACTACAAAATAAATAAATAAAATTTCAATTTTAAAATTTATATAGAATAATAATTAATAAACAATATATACATATTTATTATATCTATTGTATTTTATAGTCGTTTTTTTTAGTAGTTTAAACTTGTTAAGGATTTGTTATTAACGGGTTATTATCGTGTAACCTGATAATGACCCGATTAGTTATCATTTTGATCCGAAACCTGTTATTTTCGTATCGTGTTAATAAGTTATGTAAGAAATTGACAGGTCTATTTCAGATGGTAAACAAAACTATTTCCTAATAGTTATGAACGTAACTAAAGTGCTGAAAAACTTAATGCTCTAGTAAAAAGACGTAGATTATACTAAAATTTCATGGACTTGAACAGTTCTATAATCATCTTCATTGTAAAAATTGTTTTTATTTAGGAAAAAATGAGACTAATTGTTCCGAATTATTGGAAGACGTAAATTAGTTTCTTAATTTTTTTGTAAAATGGGGCATCCGAGGTTATGAATTTTGTCATCTAGCTACTTGATACACGTGGGCTGCCACGCCAACCTTTGTTTTCTTCTGACCCGTAAATTGACAATAAAGTGCATTTAATCCCTCAAATTACCTCTTAATGCCATCCAAAACCCGCACTTACCAAATTAACGTTGAAATGACACAAAAATTTCTGCCACAGAATGTAGGGTGTCGAATTATTTACAGAAAGTGGCAGGGGCATTTTGGTCAAATTAAAATCAAACTTGGTCACGGAATCCTTAGTACCAACCTCTGGGCATGTGTGAAAAGTGGCCATAAAGGGAGCAGGAAATAATAAAGAAATAAGTAATTTACTTGTTCTATACGTTTGCAATTTCCATTGAAGCAGGAACTGCCATTGTTGCACATCTTTTCATGAGATTGGATGGTCGGGACGGTTGGACTACCGGGAGTTGTGTGTTTCTGTTGTATTTTGCACATATGTCCTTTCTTTTTCTCTAAATTGCAAATTCTACCTATGAGTCTATGACAAACCGCTTAATCAAATGACTGATTCGACCAATTAATAAGATCATATTGCTTCATCAGTTATGAACATATTGATACTCAATAACGTGCATATATGCCTGTTGATGTCTAATCATACCTATATGAACAGCCAGTCTGCCTCAAGATTTTTCAGTCAGAAATTTCCAAAATACTGTTTCATTTTCGAAATATAGAGAAAAACCAATACCATGTTGTCAACAAAATTGATAGCCAAAATGTCTTGGAAACAAAATCTTTGACACAATGTAAGTAGGGATTTGCAAGTTTCTTGGAAGCAAAAAAGGACGTAATTTCTTGTTTCTAGTGTACAAGATGCTACGAGTCCTATTTCCACACCTGCAAATTCAGGAGGCAATGCGTTGTGGGGATGATTTAGTGCCCCTAGTGTACAGTATACACTGACTTGAGTCCGACAAACCGGCATTAGCTATCTAGACTAAGCTCGGTATCATCCTCCGGATTGTCAGGCTCCACGGGCGAGGAGGGTGTCTCTGCAAAGAATACCTCATCTGGATACATCTTCTGGAAAAGCTGTCGAGTACCAGCATCAACACCAAGTTTTAAAAGGGTTAAAATTTGGTGTGAAAGATAACGAGTAATTAAGCATAAAGAGACTGAAGCAAAAATAGTCCGTTAGAAGATGTACCGCAACTGTTGAATCTACGAGATCATTGTAGTTAAGATTTCCATCCGGCATGGGAGTGAAGAAGATGTTTTCACATTCACCCTGAAATCAATGTAAATCACAGCTTGGAATGAAAAGACGCCAAGAACAAAAATGCATCAAATAAGTGCACAATCGTTGTGAAAGATAGAGAATTACTAGGAAAAACTTAAGTCCATACGTACATTGTGCGCTGTTGTGAGCTCCTGAATGTATAACGTACTCCAAAGTAGTGTTGGTTTTACATCTGCATCTTCACTTTGAACTGCGGAACCACTTTCACGATTTGCAGAAACAGGAAGTGTGAGAAGTGCATTCATTGCCGCATGTAGCAACCTTTTCCCGTGTTCAGCATCATCACATAAACCAGAGAAGTACAGTACAAACCTGAGGTAGAGAAGGTAAACAAAATCAAATTTAAGAGGTTCCTCAAACAAGCAAGTGGAGTTAAACTTTTTTTGCCGTGTATATCTAATCCACACGTAAGATAGCAATACTATGGCAGAAAGAAGGGAAGCATTATTATCGTCAATGATTTAGCATACATACATGCCTGACGGACAAACAGCCAGTTTGTCTGAACCGCCACCTATCTGGATAGCCCGGATTGAAGTATCCTGCTCAGAAAATAAAACTGGGGAGGAAAGGGGGGGGGGGGGGGGAATTGAGACAAGCAATTTTAGTTCGAGTACTCGATTTCAATGAAGCACAATAACAGAACCAGAGTTAACTCTTACATCTTGGAGGATACACAAGCAAGCAATTTGATACATCTGGCTTCAAGGAACTGGTCGTAATACATATTCCCCTGGCCACCTTTCTTTTATCACCTTTCAGACTTAAAACTTGAAGAGTTTCTTCCAGATTTGGTGAAGATGAAGCGGGCGGCAACGGGACTGTCAAGGTTGGATCCAAAAGCAGCTGATGACTAAATATTTCCTCGCCTGAAGCTAATCTAACACCCTTGTATTGCCCAGTTTGCTGCAAAAGTTCAAGCCATGATAAAAGATCAACTATTTGCAACTTTCTGGTAAAAATTAGTTTATTTCAGTAAATAAGTCTTGTATTAAGAACAACCGTTAGTACACTCATTCCATACCTTGTCCATAAGCAGGGCAGTCAATGGCATTCGCAGAACCTGGATGAAAGATGTTTCAGATACAGATAAGAAATACAGCGGTATTGATGTATGTTTGTGCACACATAAACTTCCAGTGAATGTTGTGGATTGACTCATTTTAGCAGGAATTAATGCACATGAACATAACTCAAACCCATTTTAAAGTGATAAATTAAGCTATAACATCAAGCTAACTTCATGTTCTTTCTAAAAATAACATAATTCCTCCAAATACAGAGTCAGAGACAACCAGAAATTTTCAAGAAATTAAAAAATATATTAAGAAAAGTTAAATAAGAGAGCACATGTTAGCCCAACAATAAATAAATAATTAAGGCAGATATATAGGAAGAAGTATGGACATGCCAATAACAATTTAGGATACTTTTCCTCGAAATTAAATAGCAGATACTTCAACTTGAACTTACTTGGATGCAACCTTTAACAGCAGCACGACGGGTAAAGCCTTGTAATATCTCACCATGACCATAAAGTGGATAAAGCAAAGCCCCAGGCACATTTGGAAACCTAAGAAGAAAGAATGATAAAGAAACTACTTGTGGCATACAGATTTAAATATCTTCTTGGTATAAATTTGAGGCTCGTAATCTTGAGTCAAGGGGCACACTTAAATCATTGGGTTTAAATAAGAAAAACACCACACCTCAACAGCCTCTATTTTTACACGTAAGTTTCAATGAAAACAACAGGATACTAACCATTTTTACTTCCTTCTAGTTTCCCCTTCTACACAGATGCACTTATTTTCCATAATCATAAACCATGGCTGTCAAACATTTTACGGTTTCTTCAAATTTTTATTACTAAAAAACATCACTCTTAGCAATCTTTAAATTGTCTCTAGATAATAAACAAATCAAACATGTTTGATATATAGTATCAATTCTATATGGGTACCAGGTCGAGCATCATTACAATAGTACTTCACAGAAACTAAAACATCATAGAATAAATGTTAAGTGCAAAACAAAATGAGACAACT